AGAAGAGGGGTTTAATGAAAAAAAGAGTATCAAACCTATTTTGGGGGAGGTAATTTCCCTCTTTCCCACAACTGAATCTAAGATTTTTTAATAAATGGAGAGTTCTCTTCCCAAGGGTAGAGAAGATACACACACACACACACACACACACACACACACACACACACACACACTCTCTCTCTCTCTCTCTCTCTCTCTCTCTCATGCACTCAGGTTTTCGACTTTAAGCAGCTTATCACTCCAACTACAGAAATTTCCGAGGGCAGAAATTACAGGATCTGGGCATACTACAAACCCCCTTGTAGCACCAGAACCCTACACTCTACCATGTGCAGAAAGGCTTCTGCCACTACCTGACAGCTGAGGGCATGTGTAGATGCACCCAAATCTTCATCCAGCTGGCATGGTACATTCATCAGATGGTACCTTCCCAGCATATAATTGGTGCTCTGGTGGCACAGATGCTTGAGTGGTGCCACGCAGAGCCACTAGAAGTACACAGATGTGTGCAGGCTGCGGTGGCAGCTGCTGCCTGCCACCAGAACTTCCAGTGACAGAAGCAGCCAAGGGCAGGCACAGGCTTTGGCAGGCGATTTGTTCTGCTCCCATAAATAATTCCCACTCACTCAATGGGGTCTACTTTGGCAAGTAAAAGCTATGCATGCACGTCAACACGCACAGGATCGGAGCCCACCTACGTATGTATATAGCGCACATCAGTCAGCTGGCAAGTTTACTACTTACCCCGTTTAAGCTTCCAAGATCCTTCACCCAGTGCTCATCTTTTTCCTTATCATAGTTGATAACTGCATGCTGCTTATCCACACTGCGGGACTGGAAACAAAGGCATAATGAATTAAAGACTGGTCAGACATAGGATACAACGTTAATCAGAACAGTAAGGGTGATATTCTGCGAGCTTGGTATGAGGGTAGTGACAGGAGAGGATTAGACAACATATTATATATGCAGAGGATCAATTAAAAGTCGCCATGGTTGTTCCAAAATATCTCACTGGAGGCAACCAGCTAATCACAGGCTGCAAGCTAAAATGTTTGTCCTAATCTTTCAGATAAATGCCCAGATATACAAGGTTGGTTTCACTCTTTTTTTTTTTTTTTGTTAACGTGTTACTGCTCAAAAAAGAAAAGAAAATCATTTCAAGCAGCAAAGACTGTAAGCCAGGATTTCAGCATCAACACAAACACACACAGCCCAAGGCAATCATACTGACAACCTAAAGGCAGACGCTCAGCTGGTGCGAGCTGTCAGACTCCACAGTTACAACAGCTGAGGCAACGCAGCCAGGCCCTTCGGGACCTCCCCATTTTCCATCATTTCTTTGTAACCAAAGTTTACTTTCCATCTTGTACTTTAAAAGAAATAAATTCTCTTAAATTGATTTGATTTCAGGGTCAAAAATGGAATTGGTTTCAGGATTTTTAAAATTATTTTTTAGGGAGATTAAGCAAAAATCAACTTTTAAACAAATATTTCAGAACACAGGACTGAAAACAACCTCCTGAATTATCCAATCCAGTCACCCCAGTATTGAAGTCAATCATGTCACAGAAACCTGGTTCATATTAATACATTCTGTTTAATATAATTTATTAGCATCTGACCCAAACCAAGAGGTCTTCTGAGGTGGGTATGTACATTTTCCACTTAATGCTATTTAAATTTCTTTTTGAATAGGAGAAAAGTGCTAACATTTTTATATCAGAAGTCAGTCAGCTATTCAAAATCCATCTCCTGGAAAGACTTGAAGACATCAGTAATTTCTCAAATGCATAATTCCAATGTTTTCACATGAAGCTATTTGGACTTAGTAAATTCAGTTTTCAAAAATGCATAAATTTACTATGGGTAAAAGACTATACTCTCATTTTCTGGGTTTTTTTTAAACACATCCTTTATAATTCAAAACATTTAATAAAGGTTACAAGCTAAAGGTACTGATACACTCTTTACTCCACACTTAATGTAATTTGCAGTTTCCCCATGTGACCCAAATTCTAACTGGAAAAACTAGATCAATCAATGAAAAGTACATCAATATAAAACTCACTGAATACCTATAATAATGAACATGCCATCAAAGTAAGAAGGCAAGCTACATCAAAACTATGATGTAGTTTTCCTCTTCCTGAATATCAACCAACCAACTGTTGAGAGAATTAATCTTTCCTCTTCTCCAAGTGTAAGTATATTGGCTTCCATAATACCACCCAAAAACTGACCCTACCAACTTGCCTATAAGCAAACAGAGGCTAGTACTTTTTTATGAGGCTTCTGCAGTTGAAAGAACAGAAAGACTTTCTGTCCTGAAAAAAATATATTGTTACTGCTTGCAGGAATTCTCTCTCCCTTGCAGATGTCAAATGCATTAATAATGTTCCCAACAGCAGATAAATCCTCAGCAAGTTTTGACCCAGAAATCTGCCCTCCAGAATAACTTCAGTGGGTCAATCTGAAACAAACACATCATCAACTTAGAGGTTAGGTTCTCAAGTTGCATGATATTCCATGTCATTTATAACATGCTGCAGCAAGCGGACGTTATTGCTTATTGAAAAAAAGCAGAATTGCCTTGGGCTGTATCACCAATACCAGGTTCTCTCACAAAAAGAGAAAGAAACTCTGTATGAGTAGGCTTGGTTACCGCTGGATGAAGACAGTGAATCTGGATGGACTTTTCTGCTGAAACCCCCCTAATTACCATGTCAGCCAATGGGCATTGTTAACAAGAGTGCGCACACCAAGAAGGCACCATGGACATAAGGCAAAGAAGTCACATCTGAAAATATCCTCCAAGACCCTACATGTTGAACCGTCATCCTCCCAGCCCCAAACATAGCAGGCCGTGTGACCGAGACCCAAACCAAGGGGCATACAAATACAAGAGGGATCTAATCTTGCAGGAGACTTAACATTTGTCTACACACAAGCACAGAGGAGCCCCTGCCCAGCTGCAGGAACCCCTCGTGCAGCTAAACCAAAATGACAGAGTTTGTAGGGCTCTTCCCTTGAGGGTACGCAGTTCTTTCCATTACTCAGTAGCACAGCTGAGTGGGGGTGACCTGGGCAGCAGCCCTGGGTGCCAACTCTGTGGGGTGCAAAAGAAGCCATTATGCAGTGCTGGTTGATCATGTCACTGCATCTGGCATGACAAGAGCTGGCACTGCCCTAGAGGAGCTGCACTGCCACACCTCTGCCATTGCCTCTCTTTTATGACTTTTTCTTATTTCTGAGGTAGATGGCTTGCAACAAGACAACTAAGACGTTACTTCTGGGTGTAAATGAGGTAAGTCTGGAACTTTAGCAAAGGAGTGTTGAGAGGGCTGCAGCCCTCAGGACCATGAGCACCTTTTTATTACAGACTGCTTCCTCCAAAGTGTCACTCAAGCATCCCCACTGGGTAGAGCTGAAATCTCCCACCGGGTTTTGCAACTTCAAAGACAGCACAGCTGTGCTTGACGGATACACAGCTACTGTAACCAGCAATGGCAGAGGAACCTGTCCTGAAAGATGCTGAGTGCTCACTACTTCACTAGGATTTGAAGGTTTGTCGTCACACTAATACTAGGACACTACCTGACACCTTCACACAACATGCCTCTACATTCTAGTCAAGATAAACCCACCGCAGACAAAGGAAACTGCAGGTACTTTGCACCCTGAAGTTTGGAAAATGATGGAACCAAATGGAGAAGGTGAAAGCTACTGTTAAGATAGGCGCAAGATCATGGCTGGATCACTCACATGATAAGGCCTTGTGCCTCCCCAAATAAAACAGATCAAGGATGTTCGGACTGGGTAGCTCTACAGCTGACACAAGGGCCTTCCTGGATCTGAGGTTAGTTGTAATCAGTAGCGTCAGCAAACGTTGGCAACGCTTGTGGCAGAGCCAGCTCCAACTTCTAGCTATGCAACACTGATTCAAGGATGTGGCTATTTCCCTACATTCTCCAACAAGAAAGCATCAGAGGCACACTCCAATCAAAAAGAAGGCAGATTCTACCTCGCACCACAACCGACCCGGTGCAGAAAAAGGGACATAAGAGACATGGATTTCACAGAGTCAGTCCCGTCTCCTTAATTTTCAAGATGCCCTGGACTTGACCCTGATGTATGTTAATGAAGCCTTGGGGCTGGTGGAATATAGCACAGCTAATTTCACCTTTTAGGGCCTACATGCCAGCCACGAATCACTGAAAGGGGGCAGAGAGATGCTCCATGCCCCCTCATCCCCAGGAGCTGACCTATACCCCCTGCAAACCCTTTCTGGGGAGGACATCTCATCTGCAGCCAGATTACATCTACCTGGCTGCCCCTGGGTAGTGCAAAAGGACAGATTTGAGGTGAAGAATCTGGCCCCTAGTCTTGAAGGTACTTTAATGCCTTCTTGAATGCTGATGAGACACAGTAAAATATCAACTGCTGTACGATTAACCCACATGTGAAATACCATGCTCTCATTGGTCCAAAAAAGTAACACCACAAGAACCAGTTCCAGGAGGATTTGATAAAAGGAAACTGGAACCAAAATTGCTATAGTCAGTGTAGCTCACACCTTTCATTGCATCACTACAAACCTGCCACAAGCCACAGTTGTTTGAAACAGAAGCGGCTATTCCAGCATCACTTGCATTCATAGCAAGTTAGTTTCAGAGGGCACCTATAGACATGCAGTGAAGTTGCTCCGACATGCTGTAATTCCAGCATGTCGGAGTATACCCGATGAATTGAGTCTGCTAAAGCGTGATAATTACCACACTCCAACAGACTCCAGCGTCACAGGTATCAGCGTCCCTGTGCTGAAAAATGGCAGCGAGGTGCTTTAACTAAAGCTTGTTTGTTTAGTTAAACAAAAAATGGTGGCAGGGCACTTAATGCCCCTGCCGCCATTCTTCAGTGCTGGGACGCTGATATGCATGACGCTCCAGACCCGTTAACTAGACTGACTCACAGAGCTGCTCTGATTAAAGTGCACCCCACCCCAGAACAGGTGTATAAACACCCCAAAAGTCAGCAAAAGCAGTTCTCTAAAGATCTGGGGGCTGATCAGCCCTTTGTTGTTCTTATTTAGCATAAAATATATAGTATCTGACACAAAAAAGAGAGTCCGATAAGTTTCAAGTACTAACAAACCACAAGCCACCTTTACCGCTTGAAGTTTGGTGCAAATGGATATTTAAGTATCCGATCTCAATTACGCCAATGAAGTAACTGATGCAATGATAAATACTTATATAAAAATCGCAGCCTCTGCTGTGTGTTGGGGAGAAGGGGAAAGATGCACAATTAAAAATGGAAAAGCCACCGCCTAATTTCCTGCAACAATAAGATGCTTTTTAATACACATACACACCACTGAACTGTTTGATCACAAAGCAAAAAACAACCCCCATGTGCTAACAGCTGTAACCTAAGGGCTAAACATTCAAAACTAATACAAGTCTCACTTCTATTCCACTTGGAAAAAAGACAAGGAACAAGACTGCATCTTTGCCTTTGAGATGGGGGTTGCACTCTTCATTTCTAAGCTGCAGAGGAGATAAGGCTGCAGGGTGCTAGGGGCCAGGATAGGAGGAGGAATTCAAAGTTCTTCCCAGCCTCAGCATGGAACCTACTATCAGTTCAAACAACTTTTCATGTGCTCTGTTGGCATGCTGGATAACTGTGCTTTCTGAAGTGTAAACCTGGAAAATGAATCAATACAATGCTGACTTAATAATACTCATTTTCTAGCTATACTAGCACTTCATGTTGTGCTAGACAGTGCTAGAAATACTAACACTGTCTGCAGTCACACAGACTATAATAAGGTACTTTTTAAACCATCAAAACTCTTAAGTAGACAGCCAAAGAGAGAGGGACAACGTGTCATTCTGCTCACCTCCCTAAAGCCTAAATGAAATATGGACTCCTTCAAACCACAAGCAGGGATTTCCTGCTGTACGTCACAAGCTTAGCATCTAAATGGGTACATACCAAACTAAGGACTTGCCCCAACCTCCTCTGTCAGCTTTATCCGTCACTTCAAACATACATGTGAGCAAGGTGCTGGCTTGCGATCCCTGAAATTACTACATCAGTCATGCTCCTGTTGAGTCACAGCCAAAAGCAGTGTGGATCTGTAGCTCAGCGGTCTAAAACAGCAAGTCTCCAAAGCAGCACATCTTATGTTAACATGTGTCCTACAAAGAACTCTATGGCAGATGTCGATGGCTTCACATGCGGGACAGGTGCCATGCTACATATGGACTAAGGAACTGTGGCAAAAAAAAAAAAGTGACCAGACACATAGAAAGCAAAGCCACAAAACTGCCTGGGAAAGGGAATAGATAGGAAATGTATGAAGTAAAGTCTCTTTCATTGCCCCACAGGACTTGGTAACAATCACAGCCCAGTTATAGGTACTGTTCTGATTTTCCCAATGTCAGCACAGTTCCCACGGGCTGGCCTTTCTGCTCAGACTCTGCTCACAGGATCAAAACTTGGACCTTGGCCCTGGCACAGCCAGGAGACACCATGTTATTGGAGATAAAATAAATAATGAGGACAGTTACTGTATGCTGCTCGCAAAGGACAACATGATGCGCCTCCCTGGCCCTTGGATAACTGCAGCACACTGGCAGCAACAGGAATAAACATTCATCCTTAGAGAAGTATTTTCCATACAAAACAAGCTACACTTGTGTCATGAACACTTGCTGCTGAAGTGTTCTGCGCAGCCAGTGCTCCAGCATGGAAATACAAACCCCCTCGCATCGGCCTTTAAAGAGAGACAGAATCAACCTTAACACCTCCACTCCATTCTAAAATATGATAAGCTATTGCTGTTAAAACTTAGATCCAAGCTTAACCTCTCATAAAAGCTATAACTGGCTAGACTTCCCTACCCCACTGGTTATTTTCTGCATTTTGGGTTCATTTAAGTTTTTCTCCAAATTAGTCAGTCACGCCCCCATCCCATGTCAGGTCACCTGCTCAGGCATGGCATGCATCGACTACAACAGGACTTGCATGAGGATAGGGTTATATGCTAGGGAACCCAGTAGTTTGCATGTGTGACACACTCACTCTGCACCAAATTCATGGGGGATACAAGCCTGTTAGCACAATGGGTTACACAGCCTTGGTCCCAAGCTGTAGAAGCTCATCACAGTCAAGATGGTGGGCATCAATGGTACCAATGCAAGGTCAGTGACTCTGGTTACATCCAGCTCCTCTTCAGGCCCCTCTGCCATTTGCCACTTGGCCCCTACCTTCAGTCTGTGTTCCAACCTACCCAGCTCTGCTATCTTTTATTCATCCCCTCCCCACTTTCCCTCTGCTCTCTTGTTTAAGCAGCTCCTCCACACAGCAACAAGGAGGCAAACATTAAAAAAAGAAACACACGCAGGAAAAATGCAACTGTAACGCCCAGAACTTGGCAAGGGGATTCAGAGGCTGGCACCATGCCCAAAATGACTTAAGCCATTACTTGGACATAGACAAGATTTATGGCGGCTGGTCTCCCTTTACTGAAGTGGAGCTCTTACAGCTTTGTGCTAGTGGCCACTCACCACTTATCAAGAGGTCCAAGGTAAGATCCAGACTAGCCAGAAGGAAATACATTTTGGCAGAATTCAGCAACTCAGGATCTAGAATCTTCCAGCACAGGAGGCTTTATCCAGATCACATGCAGAACTTCCCAAGATAATCGTGTGTCTGTAGTTCACTGCTAGTCATCTTGCTTCCCAGGTACTGCAGCCTCCATGTCCCCCAGGCTTCCCCAATTCTGCAATCCATTCAGACAGCTGCCACAAAAGCCTGCTTTGTATGTTTGCTAGGGGAATGGAAACGTTCATGTCTCTTCACACATTCAAACAGCATAATCTGGTCCTACTTCAGACATGTTTGCTTGTTGATGCTTGGCCTTCACTTCCAGCCTATGCTTTGACCCACAGAACTTCACTCCTACCTGTTTTTCTGCTCATTTAATTCAGCCCTTTACCAACTTTCCCCTGCTTGTGATGCTCAGCTCTCCACCTGCTTCATGTCACACTACTGCCCAGCTCCTCCCATGCATCTGGCCTCCCAATGCATCCTCTCTCAGTGAGCTGGAGAACCCCAATTCCTCCCAGGCCAACCAACTAAAGACAGTGAAAAATGCTGAAACGGAAAAACCAACACTATACTCAAACATTGTGGAAGAATGAGGACATACACTAGCCCCACTTGTGTCCCTTTACTTGGTGTTGTAGCCTACCTCACATCCCCCATTTAAACATGGTCCACTGAAGACTGCAGACTCCCCAGAACAGGATCTTTTGTCTTCATAATTGTCTGCAAACCATCTAGCTCACTAGTGATAGTTACTGAATTATTAGAGTAGGTTCTAGGAAGACATGGACTCAGATACACTCCAAGGAGAGAAGGGAAGCAAGTGGTGTGGGCACACAACATGCTACTTCACTGGCACATTATGGATGGAGCACAGATTCACCCTGACCACACTCCACTGGCTCCAGGAAATGCCTTTGGAGGAAGAAAGAAAGGAGGGGTTTAAAACCAGTGAAGCAGTCTCTGTGGCTTCTAGTGAGGCCTCCTGAGCTAGGGAATTACCAGAATGGGGGGAAGGCTTCAGCATGTCAGTGAATTCATCCAGAGTATATTAGGAAAACTAAAAATATAACCAAATGGATTCAAGAGCCTACAAGTCAGCTTCCTCCCAACTTCAAACCTGCATGCTTATTATTCTATAGTCATTCTGTACATCGCTCATGTAACATGGGGTAGGCAAAGTGGGACATGTGGCCTGAGTGCCACCTAAGTGGAGATATGCCAGGACAGGATGCAAGTACTGGAGCTACTGCTGCTGCCTGCCTCAATATGCCTGCACCTTCCAGCTTCAAGCAGCAGCCAGTCCAAGCATTGTGCATCATGAAGCACAAAGTATTCTGGGAATCAGAGTTTTGCAGGGTGGCAATGGAGTTCACTGTTGCTGGGGGGAGAACTGCCCTGAATTTTGCTGTTGAAACAAGCGTTTTTTTTTCCCTCTGAACATAAGCTGTGGCAAGAAAAAATTGAATGAAAGTCCCCCCTGCTACCCCTTCAGCAGCAGTTAACTCCATTGCCACTTTACAGAACTATGATTCCCAGAATGCCTTGCACTGACTGTTGTTTGCTGCTGTTCCTGCACCTGCAAGCCAGAAAGGTGGGGCTGAGTACTGCTCATGGTGCATTTTTTCCACACTACACTTCTGCTGTATATACAGAGACAGAATAAAAACAATGTTAAAAAAACATTATTAAGGTTGAAGAGTCAAGCCCTCACAAGTTGCCAGAATTCAAGTGGTCCCTTTGACCATAATTTGTCTCCCTTGTGCATGCGTATGACTTCACAATTGTGAATCCAACACTGACAAATGCAACGTAATCCTCATGGGGAAAAAAAAAACCTAGTTATATATACACTTGATGTACAGACTGACTCTGAAATGGAAATTACCATTCAGGAATGGATTTTGGAAGTCATTACGGACAATTCTTGAAAAATCAATGTGCGGCAACAGTCAAAAAGGTAAATGGAAGGTTAAGAGTTGTTAGGAAAGGAATTGAAAATAAAACAGGAAACATCTCTGTTCCCTTATGCATCAATCCATGGTGCACCCACATAATGAATACTCAAGCATCTCTGGTC